CCCCCGGATTCATATCACAATCGTAAAAAATGACCTGTGAGCTATTCGAATGCAGTTTAGAGCAACAAGATAACAGAAACCAATGAGCGTATGTGTGTGCAGGGAAGGAGAAATGGTAGCATAGTATAGGCGGCTAAAAATGCCTGATGAGGAACACAAATTTTCAAAATTATTTGTATAGTAAAGCAAACTGAGGTGAATTATTCGTCAGTTCGTGGACTGGTATATTTAACAAACTTATTCCGCATCGAATGTTCAAGTAATCAAGGTATATGAATAGCAGCATGCAGCGGTAAATTGTTGTTAATCGGCTATGATGGTGATTAAAGAGGAAGAAAAGGAAAGAATGATGATTTACCGAGTCGAGTAATTGCCTGTATTAGGGATTCATCATATCAAAACAAGGGTTGTTAGATAAAGCTGCAAAAGCTGACCGTGGTAAAGAGTATTTTTTGGAGCCCGGAACCGACATGAAGCTATGGAATGTACTTAGCACAAGAGCACAGAAAGCATTTCAGCTCTGAGATGGACCCAAGAAAAAACTGAGCATTCGTCGAACCCCATGCGGATCAGAAAATAACATAGTTACGATATACCCCAGCTAAGTAACTAACTTCTCATTCGAAAGACGACCAACCAACGATTTGTAATAAAAAAAACAACTTCAGGATTGTATAAACATGAGTGCTATAAAAGCTACGTTCATCGATAACCGAGAGAACGAAAGAACAAAGCAATGCAGTGGCATGCTCATCACTCGGAAATCCTCGGGTAAAATATTTCTGTTCACTCAACCATGGAATGCTCATTGGAAGGAAGCGCTCACCGGATACTAAAATCTTCACATTTAACTCACAGCTACTTGTGAGTAGTGATGTTGGATAACCGACATTGTTTGGACCGATCATCGTTGGACTTCACTCTCACGTGCAACCCATTTAATCATGCGTTCAGGAAGCACTAGACGTAACATCCGTACTCGTTAAAGCTCACCACTAATGCATATCCACAGTCCTATTCGGATTTTGAAAGTTTAGCTCTTTGTATGGAAGTTTGCGTGCTACCACTGTGCCCGTCCGAGTTGACCGGAATCGCAAATTCGAGTTTGTTCAGAATTCGCCTTCAATAATTGTCAGTTATAAGAGCAAGAAGAAATATCCCCAACACAGGAGGTGATGAATTAATTAAATTCGGTATGGTCTCACCAGCTGTATACAAACATTCAGATCACATTTGGTTGAGTGGTAGGTTTGATGACAAGCGAGTGTGTACGGGGAAGAGAGATAAATCAAGGTATGCGTGCCCTCCTCCATTTCAGTGTTTACGCGCCCTGCCCAATCCGGTTCGGTTTTGTGACTTCCGTATTCATTTTACCCAAGTATGTTCGCTTGCCCAAAAGCCTGTCACTGTTCTAACAAAACTTCATTTGAATGTACGTGCACAGCTGATGAGATTACCACGTAGTGGTTGGATTCAACACATCATGACGGTTTTCCTTGCTCTCATGAAAATGTAAAAGCGAACTGGCTGCATAAGATTGTC